AAAAAAAAAAAAACCAATTTAATTTAGCGGGGGGGGGGGGGGGGGGGGGAATCCAGCAGAAAATCTGCTGCTTTTTTTTCACCTCTCACCTGCTTCCCCCCCCCCAGATTCCCATAGAGAAGCAGAGGAATTTTAATATATCTATATATTTCTTTATGTATAAAATGCAAATCTCCGTTTGGCACGTGGTCTGCTCAGCCGGTTGTCTGCACAAAGTATTATGCAGATCCTCCTGCCGTCTTTCCAAGGGTATAAAACACAAGGGCCTGTGCCTGCGCGACGCTCCCCCGCCTGAGCCGGCCGCTACACGCGTGCAGAGCCACCGTTATGAAACACTAATCTCTCAACCTTTACTCACGGTAGTTCCTGTTGCTGCATCTGCCCTGGGTCTGTTTATTTTGGTTTTCTACTTAAGTGGTGGTAATGAGATTTTATGAATTTTCAGAGCTTTTTTATGGGGGCTCTCTAACCCTCTCGCCTCCACCTTTTTTTTGTGCGCCGCCGCCGTTGGGTCTGACGTCGTGAGTTTGTTGTGATGCCCCCCTCCAGTCTGTTCCTCCAGTCTGCTCCTTCAAGAGAGGGCTTCCCTCTTCGAGAAGGGGTTAATAGAGGCGTCTGAAAAAAGCACATAGACAATAATAAGGAGGCATATACAAGTAAGAAAATACTACATTCCTGTCTCCCGGAGGAAAACTGATAGTGATGTAGTACACCTGAAGCAGCCTGTTCCCGCGAGGCTGTTGTGAGAGAGAATGAAGTGGAGGATTTCTGGGTGTAGGAAGCAAGTCAGGTCGAACAGAAACTGCCTGTCACAGCTGCCACCCCCTCCCGTGGCCGTCGGTTCCAACCCTCCCCACAGCTGAGAAGCCACGAAGTGTTGTCTTGACGGGGTCACGCACCTTGGCCCAGAACCTGGTCCCAACAGTCACCTGCTCTGGGCTGGTGTTCAAGGAGTGCCCTTTCACAGCTGTACGCATGCCTACAGAGTCTGTTATCCATCGGCAAATGCCAGGAGTGGAACAAGGGCAGGAGCATCATGAGACAGCCACTTGATGTCTGGTCTTCAGAAGCGCCAGGTACTTACAGATGCTTTTACGGTTAATGGAAACCACAAGCTCTTTGCACCTTGCAAGACCTGGGCAATGAGCAGCAGTAGTGCAGCAGATCCCAGTGAAGGTTTTTTGCACAGCGGAGTTTCTTCTGTATTCTGCTTTGTTAGATAATAAGGGCTGGATCTCTGAAGCCACGGATATGGCATGTGTCTTTCTGTTGTCTGAGAGGTCCAGAAGATTTGACGGAGAGGCCACAGTCCAAAAGTCTTAGTTTTCTCAAGAAGAGCACTTTATACTTTCAGAAGGTATGAGTTTAGAAGTATTTTTTAGAGCCACGGTACTGTTGCAGCCGAGTGCTGCAGCACACATTGCTCTCGTGAGTACTCCAGGTGCAGACAGGACCATTAGGCACTGCTAAACCACCATCCCCATAGTACCGTCCCCACAAATAAAAAGGATGGTCCTAAATTAAAATTCAGACTAAAGCAAATCAAGTGCACTAAAGTATGTGCACTGTACTTTAATGTGCTTTTAACATATTTACACAGCATTTACAGATTTGGACAGGGGTGGGAGATTTACTGTGATCATTCGTAAAAAGCTGATTTAAAATTCTGCTAGTCAAAGACTCTTCACAAACCAACACATGCACTGGGAGTTCTAGTTTATGAAATTCACACTATATATCTAGGAAAAAACCTTTCCTGTTATCTGTATAAACAAAACTCCTCTTACTTACACAAATAGGCTCAGTTCTACAAATATTTATGATGAAACTCACCTACAAATGTACACTCGTTGATATCAACTGGTGAAACTGCTGAAAAGTTTGCTTCGTAGGAATAACCTGCAAAAGACAAAGCTTGTATGAAGTAGGTAACTTTGTCTGTTGTTCACCAATTCATAGGTAGAGATACAAATGATACTTCAATGAATATCACTGAAGTTCAGCACCATTTGAGCTTGCTCCTTTATGAATAAGGAGAGGCTTGATTTCTGGCAAAAAGGGTTCATAAAGTACAGTTTGAAAAGCACACTGGGGCTGCATGCTTCCTTTACTGAGGCAACAACTGCATTTCCCATTGCCTTCAGACCAAACGGGGTTTTCCAACTCTGTTTCCTAGAGAGATCTATTCTGAGCAAACCCAAAATTTAACATGGGTTAGTTTTCCGATTAGTTTTCTATTTAATAGTTCAACACGAGAGCTCAAAATCTACGAATTTAACTGAGTACTGTTTACAGAATATAGCAAACACTGTGTTTACCTGCCTTTTTCCTATTGCTACCATATAGCATAGTCCGGGACGTAATCATGCCAGCTTGACATAAATCTGGAGGGTTTGGTTCCAGAAAGCAGCATTTTGGCAGCAGACATGACCTCTCTTTATGTAAAACAGTTCCCTCTTGTGGATATTCCGTGTACAGTATCACAGAGAGAAAGGGGTTGAAATATTCATCAAACCTGGATCACTACAATTAAAAAAAAAACCCTCCATTCAGCAATGATCTCAACACACAGGACATCTCATTTTTAGCAATGAAATTTACAAGTAAGGAAGAACGAGCTATTACGTTTAATCAGATGTAATTCACCTGCAAAATTGCTCATTATCAATAACAAATTATTTAATTAAGTGCAATAAACACAACAAAGCTAAAGAAAGTTGCATAACTGTACCTATATGAGTCAAGTAAAAATCACAGTGAGTTTTTTATTTTGCTTACATGAGAAAACCTTCCGCGCATTCCAATAAAGAAAACCATGATTAAAAAAGAAGGAAAACGTACACAATGTAAAGAAAAGAGACAATAAGAGTGAAATAGCCAGGATTTCCAGGGGTCCATGTACTGAGTACTGCAGGCAGAGAAACTCTTGGGAATGATAAATCTTTCAATTAGTAGTAAAGAGTCCGAGGAAGTAAGTGGCACAGCTTCACTGGTGACACAACGTTGCACCAGGGATTAATTTGGCATGACAGTTTAAAAAGCCATATGAATGGAGTAACAGTGTAAGATTTCTATGTTCTCTAAACGATGGCTACATTATGCAAGGAAGATTTTTTTTTCTTAAGAAGTAAAATGTGAGAGAATGAACATGTACTCCCCAGTTTTGCCAAAAGGCATATGGTCGAACTCAGTCTGGGGAAATGATAGAAA